GGTTGCTCTCGTCACGGCATCCGGTTGAAGAACCTACAATAAATTGGAATGAGTTTTTTAAAGGTATTAAAGTAAACAAATTTTAACAAATAAAATTACATTAAACTAAATTGTGCAGGAATATGACAAAATATAACAATAAAAAAAATTTCAAAAAATAAACTGTGTGAAAAACACCAAAATAATACGGAAGATTTAAGCACGATTCATTATTTTTAAAATTTATACTTGTTTAACAAATTTTGTTTATTTATTCTTCAATTTCTCAAGTGGTACTCAATTTTGAAAATGACCCATGCATGACACTCTCATTTTTTGATTTGCTGAGGGACACAGATGTCCTGCAGTCACACCCCCGTGGGCCATTTTTCAAAATTTAATATTTAGTAAAATATGTGTATATTAAAAATGAAGATTAATTTCTACTTTGATGGAATCCTCAAAAACTCAGCGGCGCGATAGCCCTTGCGGGCCAAGGCCTACTGTGCCCATTTCAGTTTTCTTGACCTTGGGCTCTGAGGTGCAGGAGCAGATGTTCCAGTCAGGTGGTCAACCGAACGCGGAACCCCCAGTGTTTAGCTCCCAAGCGTGCTTGGTACTCATGGAGGATAGCAGGACAACCAAAAAAGTTTTCAGTGCCAGGCCAACAGGTACAAGAAAAAGAGGACGACCAAACCTAAGATTTTTAGACTGCCTTGAAAAGGACCTACAAATTTTAAAGATAATTTACTGGAGAACCTTGGCTAAGGGAAGAATGTCTTGGCATAGGCTTGTTGAGAAGGCCAGGGCCCATCCTGGGCTGTCGTGCCAATGAGAAGAAGAAGAAACAATTTCAGGACTACTGGACAAACAGATTTACCTACAACATATTTCTTCCAGCACTCAGGAACAAACAAGTTTTAATCATCCTTTTCGGGATTCTATTAATATTGCCTACCTCCAACTTCAACAAATATTTCTTCATAAATATTGGTTCCTCACGACAACCTTATACATTTATTTTACAAATTCCATATTATTAAGGTGGCGCCCTTCAGAGAATTAAAAAATATAAATTATCTTCATCGGAGCCGATGCTTTACATCCGGCGTTCAGTGGCAGACTACTATTTCATATTGTTTTACAACACATAGCTTTAACACTCTGGTGGGAAAAACTTTAAAACAAAACTTACAACAGTTACTTTTCTCAACATCTGAAATTTAGAATAGTGTGATTAAGAAAAACATGTGAACTGTTTGCAATTTCAAATTAATATTGAAATGTGCAGGTTGAGAATTTTCTACAGTAAAAAGTTTTCGGAACTTCAGGAATCAAAACAGTATACAAAAGTTGGACGTTAAGAACCTATCTAATGAGCGAGCAAAGCGAGCATTGGATTGCGAAGCAATCCGAAATGAACTGCGAAAGAAGTTCCGGGGGTTGGCGAGCTCCAGCGAGCAGGAGGCGAAGCCTCCTAGTTATTATAATTAATTTCATCACTACATCTAGAAGGAAGCAAACTTGAAATACTTCTTTTCTGTTAAGAATTAAGATTTATATTTGTTATTCATTTTCGTTCTATTAACTTTCTCATAGAATGCATTTTTGTGCAAAATAGCTCACTTTTTAAGATCTGGATACCATAGAAAAAGTTTTCAATGGTAAGAGATGGTGGCTTAACTACAATAATTTTACATATTTATTACATAAAAATCAACCTGGTTGTGCTTATCTTTTAAATGTGTCTGCTTACAAATGTACCTGTGATATTTAAAGGCATTTAAATATCAAAGATTTACATTATATCAAAACTTCAATACCCAATACATCGTTCAATAATTTTCCAAAGATTTTTTAAAAAAAAATTCTTCTCCTTTTTTCAAAATTTTTTTTCGAGTACCTTGCTTTCTCTATTCTTACTTTGTGCTAAGAAAATAACTAGCAACAAACGCTTCCAAACAAATATTTGGTGATCTTTTAAAACACTTAATTTTACTCGTACATTACCCTAAATTTATTTTTATTTATCTTCTTTAAGATTCAGCTATATTTTATGCATGTACTCAAATTATAGATAATGCAGACAAAAAATAACTGTTAATTTTGGAAAATAAAGTTACAATCTGAAAACTTTTGAATAAAGAGTGTTTCAGCAACTGAATGGGTTGAATTTATTTTCCTTTTTCCTTAAGGGGGGACCCCACCCTGAATATTTTAAAAATTCGAAAAAAAATTTATTGCATTTTCCGAATCTTTGTACCCTTTCTAATATCTGTCTAAAACGATTTCTCGGTACCTAACTTCGTTTGGAAGTTATACCGGAAAATAGAGAGTCGTTGCTAAGCAGGTAGAAAGGCCCGTTCGGCCGGATTAGGAGGGGCGACATTCTTTTTGCGTCTCATCCATTCTGTTGACGGAGAAGATAAATGGACCTGTAATTGCAGAATAAAGGTTAGTCATCACTAATCTAATAATTTACTAGATTGAACATAAGTCAAAACTTTAAACGCGTTTTTCTCAAAACGCTGTTTTTTGACCTGGCCTAACGTTTTTCTCATGATCTGTACAACGAAATAAGCTGTTCTTTACTTTAAATTACGCAAAAATATATTCTTTAGAAAGTAGCATAGGATTTTTTTGATATTTTTATATTTCGATTTTATATTAGTATTTTAATAAATATTTTTTTAATGAAAAACTTAACTTTTTTTTTAAGTTGCAGCCATTTTGGTAATTTGGCGAATACCAAAAAACCGCTATCCTACTTTTTGGATAATGTCTTTACGTTTCAGAAAATCTAAACAAAATCGTTTTCCTATGTTTCAGGACTTCTAAATCCATGAGGCCAGTGAGGTGCTACTTTTTGATGACCAGCCACACACGGAGATGCCACCAACTTATTTTTTATTATTTTGTAAAAGAAAAAATTTCAAAATAGACTTAAATTGTAGCTAAATAACATTAAAAAAAGCAAGAAGTCTCTGCATTGTCTCTATTACTTAAAAAGAATTCAAGAAAAACGTTAAAATTTTACCATCTCAGGGTGGGGTTCCCCTTAAAGTTAACGAAAAAAGACATTTAGAACCAAAAAAGATTTCTACACCTTCTACCGAGTGTGTGCAGTGTGGTCCAGTTAAGCCGGATGGAAAGATAAAACTACAGCAACCACATATAAAACAAAGATTGACTTAGACTAGCGGTTCCTAATTTTTTACAGCTACGGAACCCTAAATGATCGATCATCTTTTTTTGGAAACCCGTAAATAAAATGTAATACTAGCCATGGCTAAAGAAAGACTACCCATTATTTTGATCCTATTGAATTTGAAGAATGAATTTTTGGTTTATCAATAAAATGTAAAATAATATGTTTTTATGTTGAATTCGCAGACCTGAAGTGGTTCTAATTTGATTTTGGTGCATACATTGGCTCAAAATGAATAAAATAAGCTGAACTACAGAACTCTTATAAACGTCGAAAAAAGTTGTCAGAGAATTCCTTATTCTTGAATTTGGACATTTTACTCTACACTGAAGAGTTCGACAAGAAATACTAATGCAATTTTTTTTATAAATTTTGCCCTTTCTTTATCTTACTGACATTTTACTGACATTCATAAAAATAACTATCAAAGAAATTATGGTTTATTGTTTTGATATAAATAGAACTACAAGTTTTATAAAATACTGCTTATAAAAAGTGGTATTGCACTGCAGTTCTATGTTCATTTGTGTACACAGTATTTTCCACAAACTATAAATAGACTTAGCATGTAATCTTTTCCTTTTCATTTGAAAGTCAGACTTTGCGTAGTTAGCATGGAAGCATTATATGATGATCTTAAGCAGCTGTCTTGAAGCTGTCTGTACCAGCTATTTCCATCAATTTATGTTTTGTAGGAACAAAATAGAGAAAGTAAAAAGGTCATCAGTAATTTGTTGAAAAAGAAAGAGCAAAAATAGCTTTAAACAAAGTGGACAAGAAAATGGATGTATATTGTAAATATTCGTCACGGATCGGCAAATTAAAATTCTATCCGCTGGCAGAATGAAATCTTCCGGCGGGCCGTAGTTGGCTCGCTGGTCGTAGTTTGTCCATCCCTGACTTAGACGATTTCGGCTGTCCTAAAACCAATGAACTCATGTCACCTTTTTGCTTCCTCCCCTTCACATTCTAAACATTGTCAAAGCATGTGCACGTTTCCTCCAAGAGTTATAAAAAGGCTAGAGTTATTAAATACTAGTTTATAAAGACATACATTTGAAATCATAAAACTAATCTCTAAAATGAAACATTTCAGACCATTGATAAAAAAATGTTCAAGGAATGAGATTAAAACTCTGTGTGCTGAATGCACTTAGGGATAGTATCCCTCTTTCAAGAACTAAAAAAACACGTTTACTTCCTCACAAGGACATTTTCAGGAAACTTTCACAAAAGAGAACACCTTTGAATACGAAAAAAAATTCTTATTAAAAAGGAGAAAGACTTCTATCCACTTTACTGCCCATATCTATCATCATTCATGGACCGCATAGTTAACTATTTATTTGCTGGCAAGGTGTCCCTGGAATAAACTCCTTGAAAATAAGATGTTGAGACATAGATGAAATAGTTGTAATCCATCCATTTTTCAGTTTCCGAAGTCGTACAAAATAATTCTTGATTTGTTAATCTCGATTAAATGTTCAAATTCGGCGGAAATAATGACGCATACAATTTGCTCTTTGTTGAATAACAGTTCTAATCGTATATTGTTATGTTTAATCAGGTGTCTCCCCTCCCCCCAAACATAAATCTGGTGAGAGATTCAATCCAGATAATGTATTTCCATTCACGTCCTCGAAAAGATTTCTCTGTTTTTACCCATTCGTTCCGCACCAATAAATAGTGTTTTGTGAGAAATTCAGTTCTAGAGAGAATTGTAAACTACTATACACACGCTGAAATAAAATTTAAATTGAATTTCATAATGTTTCGGGGAGAGTTTTAAAATGATCCGCTGAAATCATCTACACATCCTATAATCACTTTTTTTTGGGCATTTTTCCTGAAATATAACCTTGAGTAAAAAGAATGCTTCCTTTTAGGAATAGGATACACTTTGCATAGGACTCGTTTGATGGGATATTTACCATTTTCTAATGCATTTGCAGGGCCAAATTTTACACCAGGATTCGCACAATCTTTTCTAATGCATAAAAACACATGATCTAGAACTATTTTAAATCCAGCAGATCCTTGTGAACAAAATTTCGAATTACTTCGCAGGACTATTAAACTGCACAGGCACATTATCGAAACCATTAGAAAAAGGATGAAAATGAACCATCCAGAATAACTGTTTGTGTACTGGGAATTGGAAAGTTAAACCATTCTAATTCGGATTTCATACATCGGATGAATCTTTCAACATGAATGACATTTTGGATCAAAAATATCCTGACCTCTCACTTTGAATGCCTGTGTAGTTTCCTGTTTCTGGAAGAGCAGAAGATAGGTTTATTCAGAGAAAGTGCGTTTTTTGTATCCGATTGCATAACTTAATAATTGGTACTAAATAATTAGCATATTTGAGATCATCTCCAGGAACCATTAAGATTGACGCTTAGCACGTGAATATCCAATCATTAGAACAAAAATTATTCAAGGTGATATCTTTTTTTTCTTCCTTTTTTTTTGCGCCCTGTATACTTAAGCGAATATAGTCATAAGAGAAACAAGCAGTTTTTTAAATTTGAAATAGTATAAAAGAGCAGAGCACAGAGTAACCTCTTTTAGCAAAATCTTATTCACAAATAACTTAAAAATAGGAATCTAGTTTATTTTACATCCCAAAACATGCATATTTAAAAATGATTACAAGTTTAAAAAATTATAAATAAAAAATAAATAATTAAGAAATTTAATTAAAAAGTCTAATTAAAAAATTTAATTAAAAATAATTAAATTATTACCAATGCAAAATTACCGACTTATAATTAAACTAATAATTACTGAATTAATAATTAAAAATTTGCCTACTGAAATTAGCACATTCATGTCAGGAAAGTCTTGAAAATAAGTAACCATTTTTCAGCTCTTGAAACATGTCAACTGCTATTTTCAATCACAGTTTAAAAAAGTTATAACGAAAAAAAATATTTAAAGAAAACTATAACTAAAAAATAATTAAATTTTTTAGAAAAAATTGTCGACTATGTCAAGTAAAAAGTTTCCGATTCAGAAAAATCTAATCTCTCTTTACAATTGGTAATAATTCAAAATCTAATAATTCCTTCTCTCAAAGTTGAAAAATCTGGAGGAACCCTGATAAGACCGGATAAGGAATGAGGAGAAACCTCCCTCTGTTATAGTTGATAAAGCCTCAACATCCAGTATTCTTAAATCCCATCCGCAGGTCGATCGCTGAACAGTACGCTTCCACTTCAGATCTATGTCTTGTGCTGTGCTGCTATCTACCAGGAGGTTCTGAACTGAGTAGTGTTTTCAGTGCTCTATTGTCAAATGAAACCTTCCTGACTTAATTCGCAAGGCTAATGGCTAGAGAGCTTGATTTGTCCAAGTGTGTCATTAGGAACATTAAAAACATTAATAAAAAGAGAGCAAAATATTGGTATAAAGAGCAATATAAGCAAACTGAGTTAAGCTAATGTAAATTATTTAATTTGTGGATATTTAAGTTAAAAAAAAACTAAACAATAAGCTAAATAAAAGCAATTTAAGTAACTGCGGTAATACTGTTTTTATAAATAGCTAACAAATAGTTGATATACATAATATCACAGGAGATATTTGAATGTTTAATAGAAAATAAATCCAAAAGCTTAAACATTCTCAAAATGCAGAAATTACTCAAAATGCAGAGGTCTGTTATTATATTTTTTAAAATAAATGATTATTTTTTAAATTCTCGAAAATTGTTTAACCGATTTTGCTCAAATTTCGTGTTTTGCTATATAAAATTATATATATGCTATATTTTTCAAAAATTGCTTCCCCTATATACATTTGCTATATACATTTCTTCCCCTCCTATTTTCCAACGTAACATTAAAAAAAAAATTCGACTACTATTATATAAAATTAGTAAAAATGATAAGTAATAGAATTATCTTTGGATGCTCGAATTTTATAATTGTGTGCAAAGAGTTTTCAATCCGCTGAAAATATTATCAATATATGGCGATATACTCAAAAAGTAAAATTAACATTAAGGGATCCTAACTTTCAACTTCTCTCCAGTTCAATCAATTGGGACATATTTTCCAGATTGCGACTATCGGGGGTCAGAAATCATTACATCCGTACAAAAAAAAAGTATGTTTATTCAGAAAAATGTTTTTGCATCTAATTTTGCAATTAAGATATTGTCTGCTCTAATTAATTAACTCACTTAAAGTCATCCCCGTGAGACATTAAGATTGAATCCCAGTACGGGAAGTATTTAGAGTGATCCGTGCTTTTTTTCATCACAGTGCATTAAATATGATAATTAGGAACATTGTATTACGTTTCAATCTTAATTTTATAAACACTGTTCATATTAGTACCCTCTTCCCTACCCATCTATTTTTTCGTGGCATGAACATGAAATAAGACACGTTTTCAGTAATTGTAAAGCATAAGATCATTTCGATATGAGCGGAAATGTAGTAATAAGCCTTTAAAAAACTATTGTTATCATAAGTGGTTATCTGTTGTTTATTTTGCCAATAGCTGGCTAAAGATCATCGAATGTGAGTACATAAAAAAGCAATTTTCCTCATACAGAATCGTTCTCTTCTGCTCTAGCTTCAAGAAGTTGTCACTTCTATGTTCAGCACTTAATTTTTTTCTTTTCAAAAGAAGTGAAACGTTAGTGTGTTGAAGGCTCTACAATTTTAAGAAGAGCGGTGTTGCAACATTTACTTCCGTATCTGTCTATCTGAAGCTGGATGGGCCACTGGGAATCGAACCTAAATTTTTCACTATGAAATCACTCATCCATCTTAAAAGGGAATTAAAAAATTGCCAGACTCACCTCCAGAATACGCGGTGTGATCCGATCACACTTCAGATTTCCTACGGCTTCTAGAAGATCCATCAAATCAGGATCCCCGTCACATTCTTTATCCAGAAGCAGATCCGAGAACAGATCTGATATTCTGTTTTTTACACCGGGCTCCGCTGATGAGGCCAGGTGCCCCAGGCTGATCGGGAGGGCACCCACCGCACTCTCTCCGCCGGACACAATCTCGCCCAGCTTCATCAGCAGTTGTGGGGAGGGTCGAGAAATGTCTGATAAAATATCTGCAACGATCTGCTGCTGATGTGTCGTTTCAAGTGAGCTGCTTTTACCAAGGAAATGTAGAAATATCTAAACAGAACAACGGTATATGAATCTCCGAGCAAATAGGATATGAAGAATGATTTATGCTTAAGAAAGATTTAAGAATGATTTATGTTTAAGAAAGATTTAAGAATGATTTATGCATCTGCATGAGAACATTAGCTGTTTACCCCAAGAGGAGCAATTACCTACCACTTTCATAACACACTGTGTTTTAACCTTAACTGTAAATATTTATACATTATTAATATATTATGATAGGAAAAAAAACCTTGTTTCTGCAAAATAAATCCTAATAATTAATAGCAATAACTTTTTCTTTCTGGTTCCTAAAAAAAAGCATGAAAATGGGCTAAAATTCTTTCTATCACACGATATCAAAATTAAGTTCAATTTTTTCTACAGGTTAAATTTTTTTTCTGAAATTAATTTTTTGACTTTTTTAATTAGATGTATTAAGTTATTAATTCAGTGATAACATTTCCTCTCAGCTCCTCTTCCTGAATATAAAAATTTGCGCTTTTAATAGTGCTTAAATTTAAAAGATTATATTTATCGTTTAAAAGAAAATATCGATATTATACTTTCATTTTGCGGCATAATATTAATTATAATCCCATTTCAATTATGAAAAATGAATTCTGTCCGATATTTCATTCAGAATGAAATTCAGTGTTATTACAACTACAGAGCTTTTGTATAAACCAGTAGTTCCCAAACTGGGGGCGATCGCCCCAAAGGGGGTGATAGAGCTTCTCAAGGGGGCGATAATATTTAGGGGGGCGATCAGGGGGCGAAGAGTATTCAAAAGATAAAAATTGCTAATAATATTAATAATAAAAGCTATTTGAGATTGAAATTGAAAATATATATGAAACCTATGGTTCTGGTGTAGACAAAGAATTATGATAGTTAAAAATTAAAAAAAATTCAAGTGCAAGATCGTTTTCGTCATACGTTTTGGTATCGCAGGCGGAAATCTGATAAGTCACTCTGTTCCTCTGAGCAATAATACTGTTTCCAGGCGTATTAATGAGATGGCCGCCGACGTTGAATCAAAACTCATCAAATTTCTGAAAGAAGGTAAATTTGCGTTGCAGATTGATGAATCAACTGTGATAGATAACAAAGCTGTTTTAGCTTACGTGAGATTCATAAATGAGAGTAAGGAGATTAACGAGGAAATGTTGTTTACAAGAACTTTGAACACAGATACAAAAGGATCGTCGATTTTTAAATTGGTCAAAGATTATTTTGAGGTAAAAGAAATTCCCCTCACAAATGTAAGTGCTTGTGCAACA